GGAAAGGCAGCAGCGGCCAGAGATGCCGGCCTCCCCGCGATTCCAGGCATAACTCGCTGCTCTCCCGGAGCTGGGCTTTGGCCCCTGTCACAGCTGCAATGTTGTAAGAGCGTCTTTTCTTCTTTTCTAAATGTTTTTATTGATGTCAGAAAGGAAGGGAGAGAGAAACATAAATGATGAGAGAGAATCACTGATCGGCTGCCTCCTGCACGCCGCACCCTGGGATCAGCCCGCAGCCCAAGCCGCACGTGCCCTGACCCTGACCCTGACCCTGACCGGGAATCAACCGTGACCTCCCGGTCCATAGTCGGTGCTCACCCGCGGAGCCCCCGGCCGGGCGGGGGTGAGAGGATCTTGATCCTGGCGGAAGCCCCCGCATCGCTTACAGAGAAGTTGGAGCGGGGGTTGCTCTGCTTTCTTACACGCGGCCCCAGTCCCTCTCGGGGCGCCGGGATGGGTCCCTGACTCCGGGAACGGCCTCGGGAATGAGAGGGAGGCCCAGGCAGCGTGTGAGCAGGAGGTGAGGAGGTGGCAGGGTGGTCAGGGCGCAGCTGACCCCTGACAGGCGGTGCCTCCGAAAGCAGTTCAGGGAGCTGTCCGGCCTGTGCGGTGCTGCCGGGGCCTGGAGGATGGCAGGTGCGAGGACACTGGGCGCGTGAGCAAAGAAGAAGGGTGTCGGCGTCCTGGGCAGAGGCCTGGGAGCAGCGGCTGAATGGCTGTGGGGAGGGGAGGGGAGGGGGCGGCACCAGTAGTCGGGGTGGCCTTAAGGAAGCCACCTCCTGAGCTGTGTGGGTGGTTGTGGTTGTGAGAAGGATGGTTGTGAGAAGGATGGTGGTGAGAAGGATGGTGGTGAGAAGGGTGGTGGTGAGAAGGATGGTGGTGAGAAGGTTGGTGGTGAGAAGCATGGTGGTGAGAAGGATGGTGGTGAGAAGGGTGGTGGTGAGAAGGATGGTGGTGAGAAGGTTGGTGGTGAGAAGCATGGTGGTGAGAAGGATGGTGGTGAGAAGGGTGGTGGTGAGAAGGATGGTGGTGAGAAGGTTGGTGGTGAGAAGCATGGTGGTGAGAAGGATGGTGGTGAGAAGGGTGGTGGTGAGAAGGATGGTGGTGAGAAGGTTGGTGGTGAGAAGCATGGTGGTGAGAAGGATGGTGGTGAGAAGGGTGGTGGTGAGAAGGATGGTGGTGAGAAGGTTGGTGGTGAGAAGCATGGTGGTGAGAAGGATGGTGGTGAGAAGGGTGGTGGTGAGAAGGATGGTGGTGAGAAGGTTGGTGGTGAGAAGCATGGTGGTGAGAAGGATGGTGGTGAGAAGGGTGGTGGTGAGAAGGATGGTGGTGAGAAGGTTGGTGGTGAGAAGCATGGTGGTGAGAAGGATGGTGGTGAGAAGGGTGGTGGTGAGAAGGATGGTGGTGAGAAGGTTGGTGGTGAGAAGCATGGTGGTGAGAAGGATGGTGGTGAGAAGGGTGGTGGTGAGAAGGATGGTGGTGAGAAGGTTGGTGGTGAGAAGCATGGTGGTGAGAAGGATGGTGGTGAGAAGGGTGGTGGTGAGAAGGATGGTGGTGAGAAGGTTGGTGGTGAGAAGCATGGTGGTGAGAAGGATGGTGGTGAGAAGGGTGGTGGTGAGAAGGATGGTGGTGAGAAGGTTGGTGGTGAGAAGCATGGTGGTGAGAAGGATGGTGGTGAGAAGGGTGGTGGTGAGAAGGATGGTGGTGAGAAGGTTGGTGGTGAGAAGCATGGTGGTGAGAAGGATGGTGGTGAGAAGGGTGGTGGTGAGAAGGATGGTGGTGAGAAGGTTGGTGGTGAGAAGCATGGTGGTGAGAAGGATGGTGGTGAGAAGGGTGGTGGTGAGAAGGATGGTGGTGAGAAGGTTGGTGGTGAGAAGCATGGTGGTGAGAAGGATGGTGGTGAGAAGGGTGGTGGTGAGAAGGATGGTGGTGAGAAGGTTGGTGGTGAGAAGCATGGTGGTGAGAAGGATGGTGGTGAGAAGGGTGGTGGTGAGAAGGATGGTGGTGAGAAGGTTGGTGGTGAGAAGCATGGTGGTGAGAAGGATGGTGGTGAGAAGGGTGGTGGTGAGAAGGATGGTGGTGAGAAGGTTGGTGGTGAGAAGCATGGTGGTGAGAAGGATGGTGGTGAGAAGGGTGGTGGTGAGAAGGATGGTGGTGAGAAGGTTGGTGGTGAGAAGCATGGTGGTGAGAAGGATGGTGGTGAGAAGGGTGGTGGTGAGAAGGATGGTGGTGAGAAGGTTGGTGGTGAGAAGCATGGTGGTGAGAAGGATGGTGGTGAGAAGGGTGGTGGTGAGAAGGATGGTGGTGAGAAGGTTGGTGGTGAGAAGCATGGTGGTGAGAAGGATGGTGGTGAGAAGGGTGGTGGTGAGAAGGATGGTGGTGAGAAGGTTGGTGGTGAGAAGCATGGTGGTGAGAAGGATGGTGGTGAGAAGGGTGGTGGTGAGAAGGATGGTGGTGAGGATGGTGGTGAGAACCAGGGAAGCGCACACCAGTGCACAGGTCCCTCTCGCAGTGGCAGGAGCACAGGTTGATGGCAGTGGCAGCTCATCAGGTTTGCAGGGGTGTTGGAGAGAGTGCAGGTCCGCTGCGAAGGACCGTGCCTGGTTCAGGTTCCAGGGGCACCCCTCTTCCCCCCAGTTCCGAACCAGTGAGGCCGGTGAAGAGCGACGCCTTACGGTTCTGCTGGCCACCGGCTGGGATGGAGCGGCACTGAGCTCCCAGGCCGAGTGCCAGTTAGGCTGTCCTGCCGCTCACAGGCGGCACCGGCTGGCTGCAGCCTCTCCTTGGGGGGCTGCCGCCCCCCCCCATGCTGCAGGCTGGTCCGAGAAGAGCTGCCCCGGGGAGGAGGGGGGACTGTGTGCCTAGAGGTGCTCCCACGCCTTTCAGTCGCGCCCTCTGCACCTCAGGGAACACCGTCCCCGGCCGCCAGGCATGCGGGACCAGTGCTCCTCCGGCCTCATCTGCCGAGGGACTCAGTGAGGGACGCGTCCCAGGCAGCCGGTGTCCACAGGAGGAACTCGATGCCAGGGCACGGGTGGGAGGTCCCGGGTGGGAGGGCCTGGTGTGATCCCGTCTTTCTTTCTCTTTTCTTTCCTTTTCTTGCTTTTTTAAAATTATCTTTTTATTGATTTCAGAGAGGAAGGGAGAGGGAGAGAGAGATAGAAACATCAAAGATGAGAGTGAATCGTTGAATGGCTGCCTCCTACTGGGGATCGAGCCCACAACCCAGGCATGTGCCCTTGACTAGAATTGAACCCAGGACTCTTCAGTCTGCAGGCCAGTGCTCTATCCACTGAGCCAAACCGGCCAGGGCTCGTCTTTATTTTTAAAAATTGTGTGTAGGTGAGTGGATGACTTTAAGGAGAGGTCTGGGTAGATGTGTATAAGCAGTTAGCAGTACTTACCTGTTGAACTGCTGGAGGTTTACCAAGTTAGTGGGCCTTTAAGGAGAAAAACGTCTCTGTGACCGCCACAAGGCGTGGTCTACAGGCTGCGTCACGGCCACGCCGAGTGGCCACGGCTGCAGGAAGCGGTGTCGCCAGACCCGTTGGCACATCGTGTGCCCAGCGTCTCAGCGTTGTCGGTTGGTGGTGTGTGGCCTCCAGCGGTTAGGTAGCCTGTGAGCCTGTTTCAGCGTGGGTTCAAGTTGCTGTAACAGATTCAGAACTAGTGTTTCCAGCAGGAAACTTGATTTCTCCGGTTCCTCCGCACAGGCAGGCGCTGGCTGTGCCCCTCGCCCTCCCAGAGCCTGGCTGCTGGGCCCCATCCACATGTCCCGTGGGGAGGGAGACAGGCCATGTGCCGTTCCCGTCTCCCTGCTGCACCTCCGTCACAGGGTCACACCCAGCCTCAGGGGACTCTGGGAAATGGAGTCATTGGCTGGGTGGGTGGCCATGTGCCTACAAAAATCTCAAGTGCTGCCCTGGCTGGTTTAGCCCAGTGGATAGAGCATTGGCCTGTGGACCAAAGGGTCCCAGATTCGAT